TGTTGCAGATGACCTCTGATTTGAGGGCTGAAAAAATGGCTCATTAATTTCTTTCGGAATGTTTATGGAGTATCTGCTAGGATAATATCTGTTGGGAGCTAAGCATTATTCATAGAGAATAAAATAGATATAATATCTGCTTTCATGGGGCTTATAGTCTAGTAGAAGGGTCAGGTGTTAAATAAACGTGCCATTATGTTCTTATGAACTGTAACAAGTAAAAGAATAGTGTCTCGCTCAAGAGAACAAAAGGACCCTAATTTAAACTGTGAAATTCAGGTGGCCTCTGAGGAGCTAATGGTTTAGACCTGAATAAGAAGCAGGAATGTGCTAGAAAAGGCTGGGCAAGAAGAGCATTTCAGATTAAGCACCACAAGGAAAAGTTCTGAATTGGGATGAAGCTGTTTGTTTGTTTTTATGAAATAGAAACCCGCTAACATGGCTTAAAGATAGAAATTCAGAGATTGGGAAGAGGCCTTTCCATTGCCTCTTGATTACAATGAAGACTCAGTAAAAGAGTTCAACCAAGGAAGTGATGACATTTATGTTTTAAAAATATCACTTGGCCGCCGTGTGGGGAAGAGACTGGAGGGAGGGCAAAAATGAAGGTGGGAGGTTTGGCTAGAGATCCTCCGTTGGAGCAGGTGGCAGTTGATGGTGACCTGTCCTGGGAGGGTACGAGTGGATGCAGACTGGTGGACGGATTGGACGGATTACAGAGCTGTTTCGGAGATGGGACCAGCAGGGTCTGAGGATGAACTGGACTCATGGGAAAATACCTAGCATGACACACAGATGTTTCAGCCTGAGCTGCTGGGGGGCGGGGGGGGGTGGAGATGTTCTTTTTACCAAGATGGGGGAAGAATGGGCGGAGATGCAGATTTGGGGAGGGAGCTGTCATGGCAAACAAGAGTTCCGGTTTGGATAGGGTAAGCTTGAGATGTCTTTGCGACAGCCAAGTGGAAACTGTGCACAGATGCACACACCCCTCTACCGCTGGTGACCGCACATCACACAGAGCCTCTACTGCCACTGGGATGGATAAAATTACCCAGGGAGAGGATCAGATGAATAATGTCCTGATGAACTGTACTCCGAGGTAAGGCAGAGAAACAGCTAGAAGAATAGCACGAGGCTAAAAGATGGGAGTGATTCAAGATGGAAGAAGCCGTCGGTTCTGTGGAAGACTGCTGAAAGAGTGAGTGTCTCTCAAAAGCATCTGCTGGATTGGTAACATGGAAATCACAAACTGAGCCAGAACAATTCTGGAATGGATAGAAACCAGCGTGGACTGGACTGAACACGCAACAAAGGTGGGTAAGTAGAGTCAAATCCTCATTACCATTCGCTCTGAAGGAGGAGTAGAGACAGGCAGGAGTGAGCTCTGACCTCCTCAAGTTTCACTCAGGCCAAGGTTGTCCCAGCCCTGGGTTGACCACAATCTCCTTATAGTTCCAGAAGATGATGTACGTGGGCTGGCGTGGAGGGGAGCTTTAGCCATTGCCATTCTACCCCTGACCCCAGCTTCACCTCATTCATCTTGACACATGAACCCCATTCTTTGTTCAAACCTCACACGGGAAACCTCTCGGGTGGCATGCTGTAGCACTCCGAAGTGTCCCATCACAGAGGTTTACGTCTCTGTTGAAACGCCCCCACATGCCCCAGAGGTATGAATAAAGTATCAAGAGCCTCTCGACACTGTCTGGTTCAGGAGACCTGACCTCAGCCTTCCCTTCTCTTTGTCCTAGTCCTTTCCCAACAGAGCCTGGCCCGCTTTCGGACCTCATCTCCCACTGCTCTCCTACTTGAAAGCTCCGCGAGGGCTACCTACGCTCTCTTATAACACCTTATATTTTCCTGTCTCCTTATATTTGCTGTTCTTTCCCCTCTAGAACTAGTCCCCCTTGCTGTCTTGCTGAACCTTATCCAATCCTCACATCCAGCTCCAGGCCTTCTGCCTCTAGAAAACCCCGCCTTCCTGCCCCTGTTCCTCCTCCTCGCCCCCCTCCCCCCCTTCAGTCTCTCCAGCGATCTCTCCTACACCACTTGGGAGCAATGGCTGGTTCTGCACGTGTCCTTCCTCCCTACACTGAGGAACACTGAAGCTGCCTGCTGGGTCCTTTGCTTTCTTTGCTGGCGCCCGTATCAGAGAGAGGCGCTTGATAAATATTTGTTTATTGATGGGATGACGGAAAGAAACCAGAGGCCCTTCATTCCTGAAAGATGAAGACTTGCATCACGGCTGCATCAGCAGGGTTCACCAGGGCCAAAGGAGAAATAAGTAGATGACGTAAGTATTCGCCAGCCTGGGTTCTATGCAATCATATGAAGATGTTCCAGGTCACTTGAGTTCAAGTTCAAATTAAGCTCTGGCCATCATGGTCACCAACTATTTCAAATGCTCCTTCAGAAACCTACTCCTTCTTGGAAATGTTGAAACTTTAAACCACAAAAGCTCATGTTTTCTTTTAAGCTTGTCACTAGAAGTTTATTGCCATTTTAAATCGTGGGTTTCCCCTGGCAGTCCCTTTTAAAATGTTAAAAAGGCAGCTTTCTAACCTATACTCTGTGATCATATCATGCTTCATGTAACAAGAGCATTGCAGCAGGATGAAAATTCAACTTGTAGTGCCCACCTCCCCAACTCACGATACTGGCTAAAGTGGATAATAACTAACAGACTGTGATGCCTTTTATGCACTATCACATCCCATTAAAAAGTCTGCTCTGGCTAAGTTTTCAGGGCATAAACATTTTTGTGGAAATTGGTTCAATCAAATTTGGGTTCCAGGGTATCCTTAAACATAGAAATTGTTGCAACCATGAAGACAGGTGGACTCTGGACACAGCTCTACAATAAAAGCTTCATGATTTCTTGGGCACTATTTTGCTTCCCTGCATCAGTATGAACACGAAGAATCTTAAAATACGGATAGTGGCAGTTTAAAAGCAAACCTCTTTTCCAAGCCCCAAAGGCAAGAATTCAGTCAGAGAGCAAGTGCCCCTCAGATCCAACACCAGTTCATGCCCATTAAAGTTGGTTCCGCTGTGGACACACTCACCCACAAAGGAAGGAACTTAAGGAAGTTCAACTACTGTGTCTGTTTGATTCTCAGCTTGGCTTTTAACTGAGGTAGAATAAATTTTCTTTTATGGAAAGAAATGATCTATGTATTTGTTTTTGACTTACTGATTCACAAGGGACACGAAGCAACATTGAGGCCTGGCTGTTTCTGCTAGGTCCCTTCCACCAGCATCCTCTGCAGGGTCCCCACCCTGGCCCACCCAGGGGAGGTGCACGCGGCCACCAGGGCCAGGGCAGGGAGACAAAAGGGAAGGCTTCTGCCTGGTCTGGGGCTTTCTCCGACTTCATGGGAAATAATGGGGTTTGTAAAAGACAGCTTTGAGAGACCCATGTGTGCAGATGTAATCATCCTTTGGAGGGTGTGTCTGTTTTTTAAACGGGCATGATTCACCCAAAATAACACGTCCCCCATTTCTTACAATCAGCTGTCTTCCAGAAAGATAACACAGCAAACAGTCACATAGGAAGCAACTAGGCTCTCACACATCTTCACTGGGAAAGAGCTTTCTCCTGCACTGAGCTTTTTTTATGCTTGAAGAGGAAAGTTCGAACTTCTTGAGGGGGAAGTGGGGCGGGGGGGGGGGAGACACGGGCAAAACAACCTGTCAAGATTTCTTTTAGCACCTATGACTAGTGTTAACTTACATGCTCACAGAGTGCAATAAAAAGCGTGCAAAACTGCCATTAAAAAGATACTTTGGCCTTTCGAAAGAGAAACTCCCTTGCCCCATATATTCAACGGATGAACCTTGGGAGCTCTAGAGTCTTCCGTTAATAGATGAAATGAGGCCGGATTTCCAGAAATGGGTTTCCTCTATAGGCTGTGGGCTAATTAGGGTGCTCTAGATCAACACTAACCCAGGGAGAACGCGGGCCCCCCCCCTCCCCAAAGCTTTTAGCCACTGTAGCCGCCGACTGCTCAGAGTCGGCTTCTGCAAGGAGGGTGGCAGGGAGTTAAAAAAAAAAAAACAGTGAGTAACTAAAAAGTCCTGGAAGCGACAGGCTGCGGGCTCCGGGTCGCCGAGATGCCGGGTCTCCCCGCAGCCGCCCAGCCCCGCGCGCACCGAGCGGCGCTGCTGAAAGAAGTTGGAGAGCTCCCAGCTCGCCGCCTGGATTCGCCGGGGCGGGGCGGGGGGGGGGGGCCGGGGAATCCCTCCCAGCGCCGCAACTCGTAAAGTTCTGGAGCGAGTGAGGACCCCGGACAGCCAGGAGACCCGTACTTTCCCCGAGCACAAGGAAAACCCCGCGCGGCGCCAGCCCCCAGGCCGCGCGCGCACAAGGTGCCTTCGCGCTCCCCACCGCCGCGCAGCTCGGCCAGAGGGCGCCGGGCCCGGGAGGCGGCTCCGCCGGGTGCGCGGCTCCGAAAGGAAGCGCCTGCAGGCTTCCCGGCCTGGGGACCGGGACAGACCCAGCAAGTCCCGCCCGGATGCCCGGGACCGTCTCCCGCGAGCCCTCCCGGGCTTTTCCAAAGGACGCACGGCACCAGCCCGTGCGCCCCCGGCGCTCCGCTGCGCTCCTCTCTCCGCAGTCTCCCCGCGCTCGCCCCCGGGAGCCCCATGAAGCCCAGACGGCGCCCCGAAACCTCGCAGGGCGCTCGGCAGCCGCCCCCACGCCCGTGTCTCGAGCCCTCCCCGCCGCGCTCTCGCCGCCGCGCACCGTCCTCCTCGCGTTCACGGGGAGTCAGGAGCAAACCACGGGAAGATGCCTTCGCGAGGAGCCTCCCTACACCCGCCCTGTCACTGAAACAAAAGCGCAGGGAGGAGGGAAGTGGAAGAGGAGGCGGGAGGAAGGTTTAGAAAGAGGATGGGGCGAGCGCTAAGAAGGAGCCGGGGAGGAGGAGGGTCGCGGTGGGGAGGAGACGCGGGGCCAGGGCCGGGGACCCCGCTCCGGCTCCGCGCCGCCGGTCGCTTACATGCCCAGGTCGCTGTAGGTGTTGAAGAACTCCATCTGGTTGCACGCCTGGATCCAGCCCACCACCCAGGTCTCGTGGCGGGGGATGGGGGGCATGACCACGCGGGCCGAGGCTTTGAAGTAGGGGGTCTTGTAGCGCAGGACGATGGGCGAGGTCTCCTCGATGCGCGTGGGGCACTGGTCGATGGTGGCGCACACATCGTACACCACGATGTTCTCGCGCCGGATCCGCGCCTTGCAGGTGATGCTTTGGATACAGCCCATCCTGCCGCCCGGCGCCGGCGCGGCGCGGCGTGGGGCAGCGCGGGGGCCCGCGCGGGCGGCCGGGGGCGCCCGTCACGCCGCTCCCGGGCCGGCTCAGCTCGCGCCTGGGAGCCGGGCGCCGCCGCCGCCGCCGCCGCCGCCGCCGGGCATCCTCCGGGGAAGCCCCCTCCTCCGGCCGCCGCGCGGGGTCCCCGCCGCCCGCCGCCCGCCCACGCCCGCCCCCTCTCTCGGGCAGGGCGCGCCGAGCGTGCGCTCCTAGGAGGCGGCGGGCGCCCCCGCCGAGGGCAGAGCGGGCAGCGGCGCTGCGCGGAGCGGTGCCCACCCGGGGCCGGAGCCCCCCGCCCCTCGCCGGGGAGGAGGCGGCGGCGGCATGGAGCCGGGGGAGGGCGGCGGCGGCGGCAGCGCCCGGTCGGTCTGCCTCCGCGGCGGCAGCAGCAGCAGCAGCAGCAGCCGCCGCCGCCGCCGCCGCTGCATGAACCTCTGCACCGCGGCTGCCCCCCGCGTGCAGCGCACCCAGCGGCGGGCGAGCGGGCGGCCCGAGCGGCAGGCGGAGGCGGCGGCGGAGACCCGCGCGGCCGCCGGCCCCGCCCCGCACTCCCGGGCCCGGCCGCCGCGGGCCGGTGGGGGCGCCAGGGGGCCGCGGCCGCGGGAGGAGGGCCCCGCGGGCCGGGCGGCCCGGGACGCGGTCCGCGGAGGGCGCTGGCCGAACGCCAGGAGTTTTGTCCCTCTCCGGCTGCCGTCCGGGTGGCGGGGGGGGGGGGGCTGAGCAAGGGTGGGGGTGTTTAAAGGGCCGCGGGCGCCGGGGTGCGGCCCTGCACGTGGGGAGGCGCGGCGCGGGGCGGGGCTGCGCGGGGTCGGGGAGGGCGGCCGCGTCGCGGGCAGGTCGGGGATTAGTCACGTGGCTTGTGGGGTTAGAGTTAGGCTCCCCTGCTACCCTATCTCGAGGAAGCCTCCCTCGGTGGCTCGGAATGCGCCCGATTTGCTCTGGGAGCTTTTCCTGCAAGCACCCTACCCCCTACGTAGGGAGGGTGCCCAGAGAACACCCCACCCCCACCCCACCCCACGTCACCAAAATGCCAGGAGTTTTGGTTGTAGCCCCCCCAGCTCAGCTTTTACTCCTCGCCTACCTTCATCCAGACCCTCTCCTTCTTAGAAAATGCTCTTTCAGCAGAATCCCACACACCGGAGAGTTAGAGCCGAGGTGGGCTTACCCCCCACCCCCCACCCCCGAACAGGGAGCTGCGTCCTGCAGGAGGGCTGTGCGTGAACAGGGAGCTGCGTCCTGCAGGCGGGTTGTGCCTGAACAGGGAGCTGCGTCCTGCAGGCGGGTTGTGCCTGAACAGGGAGCTGCGTCCTGCAGGCGGGTTGTGCCTAAACAGGGAGCTGCGTCCTGCAGGAGGGCTGTGCATGAACAGGGAGCTGCGTCCTGCAGGCGGGTTGTGCCTAAACAGGGAGCTGCGTCCTGCAGGAGGGCTGTGCATGAACAGGGAGCTGCGTCCTGCAGGCGGGTTGTGCCTGAACAGGGAGCTGCGTCCTGCAGGCGGGTTGTGCCTAAACAGGGAGCTGCGTCCTGCAGGAGGGCTGTGCATGAACAGGGAGCTGCGTCCTGCAGGCGGGTTGTGCCTGAACAGGGAGCTGCGTCCTGCAGGAGGGCTGTGCATGAACAGGGAGCTGCGTCCTGCAGGCGGGTTGTGCATGAACAGGGAGCTGCGTCCTGCAGGAGGGCTGTGCATGAACAGGGAGCTGCGTCCTGCAGGAGGGCTGTGCATGAACAGGGAGCTGCGTCCTGCAGACGGGTTGTGCATGAACAGGGAGCTGCGTCCTGCAGGAGGGCTGTGCATGAACAGGGAGCTGCGTCCTGAAGGCTGATTGTGCATGACCGGCTAGCTGCATTAGAATGCTAGCCGCCCCCGCCCCCATGTTACCCAAGGTAACCTGTGACCTGCTAAGTATCAGGGGAACTGGAGAATATTCAGTGGAACTAGGCTGGACTGAGGTGGGCACTTGACGGGATGAGCACTGGGTGTTATTCTATATGTTGGCAAATTGAACACCAATAAAAAATAAATTTATAAAAAAATAAAATTAAAGTAAGCGCTTAACTGAACTCCAATAAAAAATTTAAAAAAAAGACTAGATTACTAGGATGACAATACTGCAAAAAACAAAAACAAAACAACAAAACAGTAACCGCTTAATGATACAAGCCCGGGACACCGGTTTGTAGTAAGCCACTTTCCTGGTAGGAAGCCTGGGATCTCCGGGGCCCAGTCTGGTCTTTGCTTCTCCAGAACACAGGGTGTCCGGGCTGACCAGCCTGTTGTCTGTGAATGAAGGAAGGAGTAAAGAAAGAACAGCCTCACTGTCACTCCTGCAGAAACTGCCACCATAGATACTGGATGTTGTGTACAGTATGACCCAAGTCATGTGTCTGATATTGCCGTCTAATGTACCAAACAGGAAGGTTTTTTTAACAAAGGCCCTTTACGGGGCATCTTTTTACATTTAAAAGCCAATAGGGGGATCCCTGGGTGGTGCAGCGGTTTGGCGCCTGCCTTTGGCCCAGGGCGCGATCCTGGAGGCCCAGGATCGAATCCCACGTTGGGCTCTCGGTGCATGGAGCCTGCTTCTCCCTCTGCCTGTGTCTCTGCCTCTCTCTCTCTCTGTGTGTGTGTGACTATCATAAATAAATAAAAGTTTTAAAAAAATAAAAGCCGATAGGTTTTCTTTAAGTATTTCTTCTGTGATCATTGAACATTTGCAGGATCCGGTGCCCAAGTGTGAAACACTCCAACCAACAGGCTGCAGGAGGCTGACTACAGCTAGTCTTCAGCTAGGACAGATGTGATGAGTAATTTAAAAATCGGTTGACATAAAAGCATTCTTCATCCTTGTTTTAACTTCTCTGGCACCTTGATTCACTTTATAGTTAACCAAAAAGCAGTTTTTGCCCTTTGATGATATGCTTCTGTCATTTTACCACAGAGCTACAGATCTCCATCACTGGTCCTTTCATTCAGGAAACACTCACTCACGGACTTCCTGACAGGAGCCAAGCATTGTGCTACGACGTACTAGGATTCAGAGATGAGCAGGAGTCACGGATCACTGAAGACAAACCTGTTCACAAGTTGTTAGTGTAAACTGTGACACATACTTCGATAGCGGTGTGCATCCAGGACTGGGGAAGGCCAGATAGGCAGCCACTGAGAGACGCACACGTGCGTGGCTCTCTCGGAGTACTGACGTTTGAATTGGACGCTGAAGGTACTGAAAGAGGCTCTCCAGGGAGAGGAGAGTGTTCGGGCAGTGTAAGACAAGAGTCTGGCAAATGCAAAATGCGTAGAGGTATGAAAGACCGTGGCGTGTTCAGGTTGATAAACAGCTCACGGTCAAGGTGTTTCTCAGTGTTCTGTACAGACCGTGGGCATCTGAATCACTGGCCAGGAACCAGTTATTGACAGAACCTGTCTTGATCTTCAGGGGAAGCCGGAGAGTGTGAGATTTGCATTTTGAGAAAAATTACCTGGTCTCGTTTTGGAGGATAGAGCAAGGACAGTTTAGAGGCAGGGGGTCAGGATGTTGTGATGACGGATCACAATGCGCCTGGAGCTGGGGTGGTGCCATGGGGCTGGAGAGGCCTGGCTGCATTTGAGAGTCATTTAAGAGGTAAAAATCGATTTACTTGGTAACTGATTAGATGTTGGGGAAAGAGTCTGGCCAACTCTGAATTTCCTGGCTTCAGCAATAAATACATTTGATTCTAATAGTCAAAACGAGACTGAATTGGAAGCAGATTGAGGTGGTGTGTTGGTATGCTAAGTTTGAGGTGCATGGAGGGTATTTTGGGGAGGGGGCCAGAGTTTGAGTTTCAGTGGTTTGAGGCCCCAGGAAATAGACTGAGAGAAAAGCACTCAATTGGGGGAATTAAGTTAATCTTTGTTGGTTTGAATGACTAGTCAGGCTGTAGTGTTGTGGACAGGTAGCATCCTTCATCTTCTGGTAGCACATGCTGAGCCTCCATAAACAGGGCAGAGCAACAGCTGCCTTCTCCAAGTTATAGGAAAGCATATAGAGGAGAATATACCTTCTTTCCAAACTTAAAACAAGGCCTTGTTATAGCCAGTCAAGTGCCAGTAAAATATAACTCATTATTCATAGACCTGGACCCTTGACATTCTCAAAGGGTTCATCCATGACCTTCATGAGTCTCCAAAATCATGAATGTCACCATGACATATCATTTCCACTATAAAAAGCAGTAAAGTGTGAAAAATGTAAGGGATCCTCTTAGACTCTTAATGGTTCTATAAATATGGGACCAAGGTGATTTCTAAAGCGACTTAAATAAATTTTGCCATTAAAATAAACTCATACTTCATTACATCTGGACCTTATTAACTCCACATTTCCCTGGCTCTGCAAAGAAAAAAGAATTGTTAGCCACAGTAGGAGAATTACTACACAGATGTCAAGGAGAAGAGAAGAACTAAGCCGTGCGGGGACATGAATGCAAAGCATTGGGTGTGGTCCATTCACTAGCTAAGTGGCTGCAAGTGCACTCCACCACCCTGGCAGGCCATTCAAATTGTGTCTCAACAATTACCTCATGATGGGGACCTTTCAGACCACTCAGTGGAGACTGTTCATCCACGAGTATTCAGTCTGCAAACGCCAACGGACTACTCCACGGAGCATGAATGCAAGTCCTCGAAGTGCTGCGAGGTCTCTGTGCTGTTCCTCTTTCTTTCCCAAATTCCTCTCCCAAGGAAGAATTCCTCTTTCTTTTTCCCAAGTTCCTCTTTCTTTCCTGGTATAGCGAGAGTCCCTGCCCCATGAGCATCATCTACCTGCCTCTCTTAGCCCCTTTTGTGCCATTTCACAGTTGAATGCTCAGGCGGATCTCCTTCAGTGAAGCTGGTCACACCTCCAGGGATTGTGCCATCATGTCCTATTGCCCAGCCTAGGGCCTGCCACCTAGGAGATGCTCAACAAATGATTAAATGATTAAAATTATTTTTTAATACGATAAAATATTATCTCCCATAAC